CTTTGGCGTCACAGAGCAGAGATGATTTGTAGGATTTGTTGACGGTGGCCGACTGTTGGCTGACAAAGTGTGTGCCCAGCTTGAACCACCTGCCCTGAACACATTGACAGTACCTCCCCTTCTCCATCAATGACCTAGTTGGTGTGAGCAAAAAAAACCATTAGAACAATGCCTCCTTTTTTGAGTGATGTTATTATACTGTGTTTTTCTTGATTTACTGTTCAACTTCAATTTTTATGATAAAAATTGCAATAAAGCTTCTCGTATCGTACCTCTTGGCCTCTCTCTGGGCTTTGGCTATGGACACTGTCAAAGGTTTAGTGGCCCCAATGGCCTCAATCGAAAATTGTCAGACCCCTGTTAAACTGGTTTCTTCCCCTCCCAGAATGTATTTTATAGCCACACTGCCTAACATTAGAATTACCGTATTTATTCAATTAAACGCTCAGGAGATTTATTCAAGGAGGCATTTATTAATTTTTGTGTGTAAAATAGATGCATATTCATATAAATGCCCCTTAATTTCACTGCCAATGTAGAACTACTGCATATAATTACTGTCAAAATGTGTTATTGTGTGATCATAAAACTTATTGATCTAACCAGGTTAGAATAATGAAATTCTACTGCAGTAGAAAATTAATATAATATTAATAATAGAAATTCAATGTGTTGAGAATGATGTTGCCTATATTACTTTTATTTACAGTAATTTTAGGGCATGTATTCAAGAAAAAGTAAATGCTCAGGGCGTATATTTGAGGGAGGAAAAAATGAAACTCTTGATGGGGTGTTTATTCATGGGAGGTGTTTATTCAAAGTGGGGCATTTATTTGAATAAGTACGGTTATAACTTATAGTAAACTGTGCTATATAGGTACTAATAAACCCAGATAGGAAGCTAATTATGCTAGGATAGTTAAGTATATTATGAACTTAAAAATCCTGCTTACAGTACAAGCTTAGTTGAATAGAAAGTGTAGTTTTGAAAATGTGTTTACATAATGGTATACAACAGTAGATTTGTATCATTTGCTTTTCACCTACACCCCATGAAAAGTCAAGTTGTAACTAAACAAAATGCTATTAACTATACTGTACAAACACTGGCTTCTGCTCTGGGGTCAAAATACCAGGCAGCTGGCTCTGTTTGAGCAGTTGCATAGCAACTGAGAAGGTTCACAACCAGTACTGTGGTGTCCACTTTCATTGATGGGGCACAAATAAAAACAAGTGGACTGCAGCTTAGCTTACTTTTATAAAATGTGATCCATTCTGTCTTAATGAGGCTCTGTTTTTCATTGTGGTTCATACCTATTGTACTGAATACTATAGACAGTCCAGTCCCGCTAAAGTCCAATTTATTGTAACTTGTTTAGAACAGATTAGTAAGTGTTTGAACTTTGTGAATAAAATAAAGTTCTAGATTTTATTGTCTCGCTCTTTATTCTTTAGACATGTACACTAGTGTTGAAAGGTGTGTTTCTTTTAATCTTAGTTGAAAATAGTTTACAATACAGCTAATATTTATTTCCATTAATGGCCATATAAATCCAAGTAACAAAAATCAGTACATTTTATATTAAATTAAAAAAAAATTAAAATATGGAATGGATGAAATTGTGTTTTTACTGATTCTCAAGCAAAGTACAGTATGTTTTAAATTAGGAAAATCATGTTCTATGCTTATTGATTGGAGTCATTGATCTTTTTTCTCATCCTTCCGTTCCAACCCCCTCCCCCAGGAGGCTGCATGGGGAACACCCCTCCAAAAAATAATCATGGTGAAGTAGTTAAAAATCATGGTCAAGTCACCTTATATTTTTAGCTGTCCCCCTCACCTAATCATCGAGCCCAGCTCCCACTTCACCTTCGTGCTCCTATCAACCTCCCTTAAGCCTTTTCTCCTCTCCCTCCCCCCAATTTCGAGACTCTTAGACACGCCACCGATTACAATTATTTAGGAGTATGAATAGTAAATCAGGGTTCATATAATATGAACTGCATGGAGATGTTATCAGTTGTTTAAAATTTTGTCCCAGTTAAACCAGGGAACAGTTTTTACTGTTCCCTGGTTAGACATTATTAGATTTTCATAGTTGTATATCTGTCAAGGAGACACAAGTTGACTGATAAATAAAGACATCATGTTCTCTTTTTCATTCTATGGGAACGAGTTGCTAAAGGTATTACTATAATAGGGGCCCATCTCAGGGGATTTTATGTGAAATTATGTTCCATTTAACTCAAGTTCCTTCACCAACCTGCTAATTAGATTTTAAAATCTTGTTCATAAGATATAATCAAAACAATGGGGCCTTCATTATGCAGGCTTGATGGCAGATACCACATTGTGACCGAATTTGGCAAAACAGAAGGCTCTTAATTGTCAAAAACGAATGTTCAATCGGCTAATTCCCATGTATTGACCGTCTTATGCTTGGACTGAAAATGTAAATTATATCGTCGCCATTTGTTACTGTTTTTAACAATTTTTATTAACTTTTGACCTAATATAGAATACAAAATATAATTATTAATGTCATTTTTTGAGACAAGAGTCTGTTTTTGTTAAAGTGGGTCACAATTACAGTATGCTCAGACTAATAAGTATGGAAAATCAGCTTATCTTTCAAATATATCAAAATCAAATTAGTATAAATTTATCATACTGTAATTTAGTTTTTGCTCCATGATTTTATTACTATTATTATTTATATTATGAATAAGAAAGATTGATTAATAAATGGTTGATTCAAACATTATAGGTTGTGAATTCCATAATATAGAACTTACTGTAGGGTATTCTGTAATTTGTGGAGCCTAGTTATGGTAAATATTCCATTTAGCTAAAGAATAGATTTTTTTCAAAGAAGATTTGAAGTAAGTATTTGAGAGTAACAATTCACCATTGAAATTTGAGCCCAAGATCTTCTGATTATACAGTTCATATTATATTCTACCAACTACCATAAATACTTTAATAAGCGCCGCAGCGCTTATACAATTTTAGGAGGGTTTTAGTGCAGCACTTACAAAAATATATTGGCGTGGCACTTTCTGTTCCCGTTCCCGTATAACCTATCTTTCATATTTCCGTAGTTCAGTAGGCCTATCATACAGTAGGTTCTACGTCATCGTAAATTTATGGTTATAAAGTCCTTGTGTTATTTATTTTAACACCCTATACATTGTATTCAAAACCCTGTTTCTCAAAGGGTTTCATTATACACAAGGTAACATATACTCTTGATTAAGTGCTGCAGTGCTTATAAGCGGCACTTATTCGAGCATTACGGTAAGCTATGATGCCTACTGCAGTTGTGTACATACTTGGATTTCACCATTAACATGTTTTTCTCACTGATTGCATAAGGTAAAAAGTCAATCAATAATTTCTTTTTTTAGAAAAAGAAAGTGGTCTAGACTTCACCCAGCAGGTTAGAATTTTCTGAACATATTCAGTGTCCCCCTCATTAGTGGTAATGTGTGAAATGTCCATGCCATCACTGTTGTATGTCAGTTTAATTGTCAAAGAAGATTCACCAAGCTTATGTCATTAATACTCTCATCCAATCCAACAGACCCTATGACTGTAGAGGTGTAATGTCCTAAGTACCCCCTGCAGGATATTTGACCTTGTGTTATGCACCCCCTGTAGGATTGCTTTGACTGGAAGGCTTTGCACTATACTTATCTCCATGGTATGATGGTATGATGTTCTTGCCAACTTGCTGAAGGGGAATAACTACTACAGTTCTATTTTAGTTTGTAAATATCTTGGCAATAGATTAATAATGTTTACTGTCTCCATGGTAAAGTCATACTAGGCACATCATTCCAAATGGCAATTATTTTATAATTATAATGACATATGTTCCCAATGGAAGTAGATAGTATTGAAATTCCTGCAGACATACTGTTTTCATAATTTGTAGGGGAAAATAATTAAAGTAGCATTGTGTTACATACAAACTCACTAATTCAATATTATGTAAGGTATGATATATAATTACTATACTTTATTTTTTAAAGGATTTTTTAAGAAAGTGGATTGACATTTAAATATATTTAATATTTTGTTTTTATTTTCTTAAATCAATCATTAATTTGAAATTATTTCTGTAAAGAATTTGATATTGACACTACGGTAGGGTGACTATAAGTCTTCAGTATATTTGGACTTCATTATATTTACACTAGTGTCAAGTGTTTTAAGTGGATTAATATCCGCATTCTTGAATCCTTCGACAGACATCAAAGTGCTGTTAGCAATTGCATCTCTTTGAGAAAGCTACAACTTGGGGCATACCTTGATTGAAGTATACATGTCACAGCTTGCTCCAATGCTTTATACATATCTCTTCATCTAAATATGTTACCATTCATTGTGTAAATATTAATACTTGGTATTATAGTATAATGCATAAAATATATGTCAGAATGGCTTTAGAGCTAGAGCCTTGTTTCATTTTATGCTAAAATGAGACTGGCAGTGGCACCTCAATTAATATATCTCTCAAAATTTTGTAAAATAGGTTAGATTTGTTTTGACAGTCACAGTTTATTCAGTTTTATTTATTTGTCTTATTTTATTACATGGCTATTACTATTATTATTTATATTATGAATAAAGAAGATTGATTAATAAATGGTTGATTCAAACATTATAGGTTGTGAATTCCATACTATAGGATTACTATTAAGTAGGATTAGTACTATAGTACTATACCTGTCGATATAGTACTGTGCTTCCAAGTTGTGTAAACAGTTTAAGAGGTAATATTAAATCATATCTATTAATAATCATACACAATCTGATCAAAAGTGCAAAAGTCAACTATCTTTCAAGTTGTTTGGGATCAAAGATTACAATGAAAAAAAATTCCCAAACCACAAAAAGAGTGAATGATTTGACTAGTAAATTAACTATAATTGTTTTTGTTATTATCTATTTTCCATATTAAATTGTCATAGACAAATTCTTGGTCTGTTTTCAGGGTAAGGCCATTTAATGATGTTGAAAAGAAACGGAAGGACAGAAATGGTGTGACTTTCACTGGAAACAATTCTATTACAGTAAGTACACTTTTTATCAATGAGTTGCTGATTATAAAATATTGGGTTTGAATAGTAATACTTAAATAGAAATTTCTTAAATAGAAGGAAAACCAAAACATTTAAATTTTTTATTGCTCATTGAATGAATCAAATGAGAAAATTTTTCAAGAACCACCAACGACAATGCCAAACAAATAAATTAATATAAATATGGCCAATCATCTTTAAATCATTGGATTATTCGATGTTACGCTCTGTGAACCATGATCCATCCTTTGGCATGAATCATGCGAAATAAATTTGATAAATGTTAAAATTTGAAGTATGAAATTCTAATAATAAATAAGAAGCAGGTCAAACTAATGCACGTTCAGAATCATTGCTAGCTAACAATTGGATATGTGTAGCTAAGGATGATGGCGTACCTGTACATGTGCATTGTGGTTATTCTGATCGCAGCATGTTTACAGAGCAGTAATGCAGCTTTTACAACCACACAGCAAGAACCTTGAGGTGAAATTGTAATGATCGTGGCCTATTTTTGGTTAGGTTTGACTGTTGATTATTGATTAGTATTTCTATTTCTGACCTTATATATTGGGAGGTTGAGTTGGGCCTTTAACAATGATTTTGTTCAACACATGTGTAAAAATAACTTTACACGTGATGGTGTCTAATTATGTTGCATGCATGAACCAATACATAGAAGATTATGCATTGACTCAATTGGGGATATCATGGAAACTTATTTATAATTGATAAGTATTGATTTGCTACAAGTATTTCAAACAGTTACAATGCAAATTCACAAATCTACCGTATATCACCATCCAAGGTTTCAGGCAGTTTGTATAGTACTGTAGCTCATTACTCCAGCTGCATTGAAGTTATTAAATAATGCTTCATATTTTGTACAATAACATCATACTTTTTGTACAATGGATTTCTATAGCTTTTTTCTAAAATTATATTAATGTTTTTCCCTCCTTCTCATTTCTTTTGTTAGGCATGTTTAGAACTCTTAATAACAGACAATCAATTTAGATCAATAGACATTTTCCATGCATGGAAACATCTCTTGTTGTGTTAGTAGAGTGAATTAGTTACATTTAAGGGGAAGATTAGGTGCCCAATGGCTCAGCTATTCATTATGTATTGATACAAATGGATGTCTTACTAAAACCTAAAGGCCCACTGATTAATCGCAGATAAAATAGTATAATACATACTCCAAGTATCGAAATGCATGCCATCGTGTCGGGATTCAATATTTCGACATTAATTATGTCATCATCAGGAATGAAAAATTATCCATATTTGCCAGCTTATATGCCAAAAGTTTTTGACCAATCAAAACATTACCCCAGTAGGTGACAGTTATGAATAAACTAAAGATCAAAGCATTCTTACCCTACTGATCAAAGCTACCTACAAGAACAAAGAAAGCTCTTTTGAAGCTTTCAGCCCATTGTTAAGCAATGGGTGTAGCCTATATATAGCAAACGCTTCTTTAAACAATAGTGTAGACCAATTTTGCGAACTGTCAATAATGTTAGTATTAGAAAATGTTAGACCTAATTTATTACTTACATTACAGGCTACATTATCATTTTCAAGTATACCTTGTATAGATGGGATTTATTCGGTGTAACCAGTAGCCCACAAAAGTCTAGAAGAAGACTTACTTCCAGTGCGGTCCTTCTGGTGATGATTGGGCAGCACGCGGGAGACAATCCCCTACTCTTTTCCGAAGAGTGTACTGCATTCTTTAACGTGCACATGGGTCATAATGCACACAAGAACAACGGCTTAAACGTCTCATCCGAAAGACGATGCGCTATTGTAACTTGTATTTCAGCCCTCTAGCTGAAACACAAGGAGAGGCAGCGATGGGAATTGAACCGGGGACCTAGAGATCTCAACAGTTCAGCGCACATGGCTACTACCAGATTGGCCGACTGAGCTAAGCTGCTCTTGTAAACCTAAAACATATTGGAATACCTCACAATTTTGTATATGATCATTTATAACACTATCAGATCGTGAAGAATGTTCTTTAAGTCTAGTTATTAAGCATCTATCTGTCTTACCAATATAAGTCTCTTTATTGGTGTCAAAACTTATATCTCTTGCATATATTATCTATAGGTATTTGAACATCATCTGGGCCATAACCTCTTGTAGGCTGTTGTAACATTAATGTGGCAAAGACAAGCCAAACCAGTCACTTGTCGCAAAAATCAATTTTTAGTTATAAACAGGGTTTAACAGTAAAATTAGAGCTATAAAATGGTAAAAGAATCATTTAAAGCTGGCATTTCGTTATGAAGTTACAGGAGTTTAAACATACAGCTGTTTAAAGAACAATATTTGAGAAATCAGCCTTCAAAGTTTACGATTTCAGGCATTTCTTAGGTAGAAACCATCTCCAAATCGTTAAAAATTGTTGTTTTATCATTGAATATGAGGGAAATAACAGCATAGCATGATGTATAGATATATAAAGGTTAGTTTAGTGCAATAAAATAGATTTTCAAAATTTTGACATTCCAGCATGTTTTGGCCATTATCTCCAAAACAGGATCTGTGACAAGTGACTGGTTTGACTAGTTCAAGATACAGTAGGAACAAATTTATAATTCCATTTTATTCAGTGATCAAGAATAAAACTTCACAATCGATACATCAGCTGTTGTAGGCATAGATATGTACATGACTTTACATTATACTTCTACATAATTAACTAATTCAATTGAATTGTTTACAAAGTCTATTGTAAGCCACTCAATTTACCTGATGTATGCACACTTTATCCTTCATAAAATATTCAGTTAATTCTTAACACGATTCTTTTGAATAGCGTTAAATAGTAGTGACGCAAATTCACATCAAAATAGCGTTAAACTAACCAATTGTTGTGTAAACTTGTCATCATGTCACAATGTAGCAATGATTTCATTTTAATTCGCTGAAATTCAAAGTGTAATTTAATTATATTAATTCGTTTTTTATACTGCAAGCAACTTGTGTACTACTTTTCAAAGTATTGAAATAATAATAATGATAAAAATAAAAACTATGTAATGTCTTCTCAAAGTTCCTAACTTTTAAGTCATTTTTAAAACTATTACCTAAGTCTTTCATCTCAATTGTAGTTTATCATAATATGTGTAGGTGCTTTTTACTCTTATGCTGATGTAATTTATAGAGATTTAAAATTGTTTATGTTTTTATGTCATTTGCAGTTTCTTCTCCAACTTGAAGAAAGATTGAAGCGAAGTGATTTGCCAAATATAACTTGAATTTTTAATTGTTTCAGATTGACCAGGTTAATGGAAAGTCCAAGAAATTCACCTTTAACGCCGTCTTTCAGCCAGATGCTTCCCAGCAAGAATTCATGGACAAGTGTGGCATCAAAAAAATGGTTGACATGGCTGTGGACGGATATGCATGCACAACGTTTGCCTATGGTCAGACCGGCTCAGGCAAAACATACACAATAACTGGACCTGTTGCTAGTGTAAGTTCAAACCAGTTTGAAAGCTGTCTGTATTATGTGATGGTAATGTAGTGTTTTACTACACTATTTAATTGTCTTTGGTTCAGATTTGTTTAGACTTGAGACCGGTCTTGGATACATTATTTATTATTTTGGTATATTTTTTATTCATTCTAAATAACATTCAAGCGGCCAGTGGCTGAAACTGCAGTCTTACAAAGACTTCAGAGTCACAGTGAAAAGAAATAATAACCATTAAATATGTAAAAAGTATGTTTATGTCAATTATTTAACAATTGATTCTTAAAGGTTTACCAGGATTCAGTGGCTAGTGGTCTTATCCAACGGTCATTTGCCCACCTTTTTGATGTGATCAAGCAGGCACCTGACAATTATACCTTAACAGCATCCTACCTGGAGATTTACAATGAACAGGTAGGTAGCATACATATGAGTTTCTAGTAACTATGACTATGATAGCCTAATAGTGATGGTCATGACCAGCTACCATCATTCACCATCATGGTCATCATCAGTCACCATAACTCATAATAACTCACCATCAATTTTATACTTAATAGTTGGCATCATCAATATCATCAATCACCATCGATCATAATCAATGGTCATCATCAATACCACCAGTCACCATCAGTTTTATAATCAATGATAATCATCAGTGCCATCCATCACCATCAGTCATGTCATCATCAATACCACCAGTCACCATCAATCATAAATTATCAATGGTCATCAATACCATTAGTCATAATCAATGGTCATCATCAATACCATCAGTTACCATCAATCAAAATCAATGGTCATCAATAGTAACAGGCACCGTCACTCTTATCTTGGTTTAGCCGTACATTTTTTTGACATACATGTAAGTTCAATTAATAAATTTTGTTTTATCAATCACCGTTCATAAAAAATTAACGCTTCACTGAATATTGCAATCGTCACACATGTACGGTACTGAACGCGCCCTCCACTAGCCGTCCAGGGACCTCGCTGAGTTCACAGGTACCTACTCGCACGCACAGACGGTGTAGGAAGAGATCCTGCATTTGGGCTTGTATTGAAAGCGGTGCCTCACGATGATATGCAATTATGGGGAACAATTACTGTTCCCCATGGGTTCAACACTTCCGTATTTATTGTTGTAACGTTTTGAATAAAATGTACATAGTAAATTTTTTTTTAGCATGACGCTAACATTTTAAGTATGGTGCAATCTTTGCTTATTTTTCCAAAGCGTGGCGATCATTTCATTTTGTCACCCAAGCGTGGCGGTCCCGCCACACTTAAGTATAGCTGGCGAGACCCCTGTTAACCATTGCTAACCATAGTCATTGTCAATATCCATGATATCATGTCATCAATTATCACCTTCAATACCATTTCCATTATCATCATCAGTTACCATTAATCATCACTATCATCATAATCATTATAATTATCATTATCATCATTATCATCATCAGTCGAATCATATATTCGTTGCTTGACTGCATTACTAGCATTTCAACAGTACAAATGATTTAACTTATACATTTGCAACTTCTCTGCCAGGTGAAATACATCATCATGAAACAAATACTTCCAAGTGTTAACCATTGAGTTATGATTTAACTGCTTTCGTGATTACATCAAACATCTTGCATAGGAAGTGTACTGTTAGTGCCTTGTGGTAAAATCAATGAACAATTAACACTTCTAGGCTGGGTTCAGGCCTGTCCATGCCAATTATTTATAATCTCTCTGTTATATTCTTCAACCTATTTACCTGCTGTGCAAGAGACTTAAACATTTCAGGTGTTTTTTGTTTGTAAAATTTTACCTTTTTTTTTTACCCGATTGCATAATGTCAGTTCATCATGAATCCAGGTACCCAGCCCTGAGTAACATTTTAGTTGTTGGTATGAATGTAGGCATCTGTGGCAGATCAAAAATGAAATGAAATTTAGAATCTGTCTGATGCAGCTGCAATCTAATGACTTATATTAGGTTTCAATTTAATTTTTAAGAACGATTTGGATGTCAAATTGACAAACATTACCAGCATAAGATTTTTAACAATCTAAATTTCTCTGAAAATTTTGAAATTTAAGTCTCGTAATTAGACTTATAGTTCATTCCATCCTTTGACAAATTAACATAAATAAAAAATATAATTAAGGATTACAAATATTATTATTTATTATTAGTAAAAATAATAATTATGTAGCAATAAGAACAAATTTAATAATGGTAATGAAATGGTTTGTTGAATCTGAGAAACTATCAACTTTACGTAATATCTATCATAAAAGTATCTATCAGAGCAGCATATATTTTGTATGTGAATGTAATAAAATGTAATAATGTAATTTGAGTAATGTACATATCTCTTTTATAGTTAAGAATTTAATTTCATATTTTTGTTGCTTACATTTTGTTCTTTTTTGGATGCACCGTTAGTTTTTGTCTAACATGTGCCACTGTTATGAAAGTTACATAAAAATAGATGAGCCGTATAGCCTGATGTAATAGAAAATAAAACTAAAAAAACATGTTGTATTTTAAAGACTAGTTTATTTGACAGTACACTTTTCTTAGCTTTCGTGCACACAGTGCACTTCTTCAAGAAGTGCACTGTGTGCACGAAAGCTAGTGTACTGTCAAATAAACTAGTCTGACTTGTTCTAAATGTTTTTAAGTTATATTTTCTGTTATGAAAGTGTAATCCAATAAATATTGTATTGTAGTATAATCATATTTTGAAAATATGAGCAGCTATAAAAGAATTATATAAATAGAATGTCTTATTAGATTTTGATTAATATTGTCAGCATAGTGATTAGCTGTCATTATTATCTGTTGATTAATCTTCATTTCCAACAGGTGAAGGACTTGCTTAATCCATCAGGTATTGATTCCTTGGCTGTTAGGTGGTCAAAGGACCGAGGCTTTTATGTTGAAAATCTATTTATGGTCGAATGCGAGACGTTGGATGATGTACTGGCTGTTCTAGAAGAAGGTATAAACACAAACACCTTAAAAAAGCACCTGGTGTTTCTATTGAAAACGACTTTCAATTTTGAATCTCGTTATTATAATGTTGTCATACCCATTTTATTACCTGTATATCTTAATACCTTTTATAATAAAAAACATTTATTATTTTAAGACTGGTGAAATGTTTACATGCATTACAGTATTCACATTGATGTTCCTTATGAAATAGCTCCCTCTATAGTTTAAAAGTATTAACCAATAGGAGCAAGTTTTTTCTGTACACATTGATGTCATGGTCATGTTTTCAAGGCATGTTATTATTACATACATTTATTAGCATTAATATGGAATGAGATATCTTAGGAAATACAAACAAAAATTTTGACTTCATGAGCCTGGTGTTCCAAAATATGTATGATGGATCTCTTCTCGGTCAAATGTTAGCGCTTGAAAAGTAATTCCTCCTCTCTACCTGTGTCATGCAAATTTACTTGTTAATTATTCTTACACTGGTATAATTATGTTTTATTATGTTATGTAGGTATATCCAACTATTTGCTTTTTTTCTTCATTTGGTAGGCATGAGTCAAAGACAGATAGCAACTCATAACATAAACGAACATTCCAGTCGGAGCCATACTATCATGACATTATATATAGACAGTGAAATGGTACAGTATCAATCTTAATCATCTATATTACTCATATTAGGACTCATGAACATTATTAAATGCTTTGAATGAATGTAATTGACACAAGTCAGTCAACAGCTAACCATGCTTAGTTTAAGAGGGATCTGGAGGTCTTTTGGGTTAGATTAAGCATTCCTTTCTAGGTCCATTTTTTTTTTGTTTATGGAAAGTACATAGAGGTCTCCATAATATGCACTCTATAAGTTGAACAGTATTATTAATAAATAGAATAGGATTTTTTATTTTCTAGTGCATTTCTTCTGGTGAATTGGACAATATGCCAGGAGACAATCTGCAATATTTAAGAAGGACATGAGCAATTTTATACACAGGAACAATGGCTTAAGTATCCAAAAGACAGTGCACTATCATAACAGCCCTCCAGCTAAAGCACAGGGAGAGGTCTAAAGAATCTTTACAGTTCAGTGTACACACAGTGGCTACCACCATGGAGGAAATATTAATATATTTTCTCCAGCCTACCCCAGTTTAGCTGACTGACCTAATGCTAATTAGTGTAACAGAATTCAGAAACAAGAATTCTTAATCATAATATTCAGTATGATGATGATAAATATAATGATGATGTAGATGTTGGCAATGAAAATAATACTAATAGTTGGTATTTCTTGTGTTGTTAGATGCATCAGACTCAATAACTTGTGCATATCATTTGTATTTAGAATCTCTCATTCCTTTTTAGGTTGATCCTGATGATGACAGCCTGTACATTAGCAAGCATGGTAGATTGGCGTTTGTTGATTTAGCTGGTAGCGAGAAGGTGAAAGAACTAGGCTCCTCCAATGGGGAACTCCTCACAGAGACAACTAATATCAACAAAAGTTTGTTAACATTAGGTATGCCTTAGTTTTTATTGTTTATGGGAATATTTTCTTCCTTTTAAAACATTTTATAATAATAAACATTCAGAATTTATATAGCACCTAATAGTATACAATCAAAGAAAGTGCCTGTAATGTTTTTACGTTATGGCATTGGTTGCAAAGTGCAACCTTCTCTACTCCCTGGGAGCATACCTAGTCATACTGCATTGCACACAGATCAATACTACTTCCAGTGCCACAACATGCTACCAGGTACCCATTTATACTCCTGGGTGGAGAGAGACAGACACAGGTGGAGTGCCTTGCCCAAGGAAGCAAGCAGATTTTAGAATGTGTTGAGAGCCCAACTGAAACCATTGTAATATACTGATTACTGGTGGGGGCGTGTGGCGCAGCGTCTAAGGGATCGGGAGTTTGAGACCGATGCTTGCCGCATTGCTCATGTCCTTAGGCAAGATACTCTACCTATGTTTGCCTCTCTCCACCCAGGAGGACAACTGCGCTAATTACTAGCTGCAATATTATGGAATTCTCCCCAGGAAGGTGAGTATGTGTTACATACGTGTTTGATCCAGTGACCGGGGTAGTAATGTGAAGCGCTTAGAGACTTTATGCATGAAGCACTATATAAGACCGTCATTATTATTATTATTGTTGTTATATTATTATTATTATTATTATTATTATTATTATTATTATTATTATTGTGGGAAAACTTGAAAAAAAAACCATTTTGTTTAGTTTAAGTCAATAATCTTATTACTGTTTTTATGAATGCCTGTTTGTCTATTATTTTTTTTAGGTAACTGTATCTCAGCTCTTGGGGACACAAGGAAACGGTGTGGACATATTCCCTATCGTGACAGTAAGCTAACCAAACTACTGGCTGACAGTTTGGGAGGCAATGGAGTCACATTAATGGTAATTTTATTTTGTCTTAACTCATATTCTAGCCTAATGAAAACCATATATTATTTACATATAGTGCCTTTCACTGTTCAAGAAATTATCAAAAAGCTTGCAGCTTTGCCCTTAGTCATTGGAACCATAAATTGACAAATTTATACATAATGCAAGCTCTTCAACTACCTGGTGAATGTTTATGTAAGTACATCCTGCAAAAGACCTAAGGGTCCATAACTGCAGGGTAACAGGGGTTGTATGGACTTGTACACCAGGGTAACACCCTACTCGTCTTGAAAGATATACTGGGTTCTTTTGCACATGAATTGCCAATTGTGTACACTGGCCCTACGGTAAGAAGACTTTGTTCTCTTTTGTTTTTATTCATTTCCATTGCAAAAGAACATTACATTATCCGAGAAGACTTGTTCCACCACCACCAGAACCATAGACGAGCATGCTGTTCGAACCATCACCCATATTATGGCTGTAGCTAGGTTGCTGTGCCCCAGCCTTAACCGGTCGTCCATTCAACTCACCCAATATATATGTTGCTAGTCGGTGCAGTACATTATACATAGAAAAAATACAAATTTTCAATCACATTTTAAAGTTCCCGAGCTGCAACCCCAGTGCCAAATTCTCCCACACATTTGGTTAAATTTAAGCAGTATTATTCCTGATGCCATTAAAGCAGACCTTTATGCTTTGATTCCATATGAATTTGTAATACTGTATAGGATTTGTTTTTCTTTTATATTCTAGATTGCATGTATTTCACCATCACAATACAGCTGTGGAGAATCTCTCAGTACATTACGATATGCCAACAGAGCAAAACGAATTAAAAATAAGCCAGTTGTGAAAATGGTAAGCTATTGAATGCTTGCACAGAATAAATGTTCTTTCTGAAACAAACAAAATTGCTTGTTACATAATATTACTTTTATAGCCATTAGTATTATGTAAGTGCTCAGTACCAGAACAATAATAATAAAATGGTAAATATTTTATTTCAACACGGAAAACATGATTCACCCAGGTGTTTTTCATTGAGGCCTTGCAAGGCCATAAATAAATGTGGTATAAAATGTGGAAAAATTAATACAAACACAAAGAAATATTTAGATATCAAGAACAGAAGGTTAAGTAACACATTACATAAACACTTAAAAATCATCATTCATACATACATTATTGGTATCAGATACACAAATGTGCAGTCTCCCCTCCCCTCTATTCTAGTGAGGATTTTTTTTTAAACATACAAAATTCACAAGGCTAAATATGCTTGAAACACTGGTACATTACACAAGATTCTGGACAAATATATCTGACAGTTTAAGGAGGTGTTTGACCTTGCTCAGTGTTCTTTTATATATCTACAACTTCTCTCTTTTTAAAATTACAGGATCCACGTGAAAGGTATATCTTGAGTCTTAAAAGGGAAGTGAAACTCCTACGGACGGAGAACCAGTACCTCAGGAGCCATGTGGACTTCCCTGGAACCGCTAGGCCTGGAGGTAGAAAGAATAATGCAGCTGATAAGACCCTAAGTGCCAAGTCCTCTTCTGATACCTTGCGTGCAGATTCCAATAATAGTAACCGGGAGCTAAGTGCAAAGACAATAAATGGGGACCAGGAAATGAATAATAATCAAAGGGCTACAGAAGGGTAAGATAGTTTATATGTATTTATAAATCATGTATTTAGCTGTGAGTGTGCTGTAAACTTAGCTCTGTTTCTTCACCAAGTAAGGCTCTTAAACATGTTAATTGTCTTTTTTTTCTACTCTTTCATGTAGATGTTCTGAATTTTCATTTCACATTTTGTTTGCATAAACATGTGGACTCATGAACTACAATTTGGTACAAAATAAGAATTTTTTTCTGTTTGGCCTTTCTAATATGTTATCATGAAATGCAATCCAGCTCAAGATGCAGGTGCATCTCAGTGCTGCCGTATGATTTTTTTTTTTATTTAATTATTTATTTATTCAGGTATAATATAAAAATATAGAAACAGCAGCCAAGGGCTGAAATGAGTGTATTTACAACAAAAAAAAATTTAAGAATCTTAAAAATATTATATGTACACCAAGAAAGGACAAAACATTAAAAATACATACAAAGAGATATTAACTCAAAAATTTCTAACCTTACACCTAAAACATTGCAAGAAAATGTTGTTTTTTTAATGAAGAAATACCGGAAATATATATGTGGATTTGAATATACTATTATAATATAATATGATATAAAAATTACATTTCTCTTTATTGTGGCTGAACTTATTCATTTTTTTATTTTTTAAAATAAGGTTCTTTTAATTAAGGTATTTATATAGTAAACTCTGTCTTAGTTTGTATATTTACATGTATCATTTATTACGAATTTCATTATTTAAATTTATCTTTCATTGTATTGTAGCAATAATAATAATAATAATCAAGAATAATATATTTGTGTTTTAGAAGTATATCAGAGACTGGCAGTGTCAAGTCTGCAGTTGATAGCAGCCTGTATGAAATGTTACAGCAGTACATGATAGAGAATGAGACATTACGCACAGAGAACTCTGGCCTTCAAAGTTTCAAGGAACGCAGTGCTCGTGAACACGAAAAACTTTCCCGAGATAATGAACGACTATCTAGGAAATTGGATTCAGTTGGCAGGTGGGTCCGATGCCGTGTTTCATTGAATATATCCACACGAATTAATAATAACCACAAGGTTGTCAACCTCTGTATTGATTGCATAATCATTCTATGGTTTTGGATGCAGTGAACTTTTGATGATGTGTTTTTTCCAAATTAGAATGATCAGTGAGATAACAGAAAATGAAATTCATCAATAATTGTTGATGTAAAAAGGGAGAGTGCATGTATTGTCCTCTCATACACTGACTTCAATGAAATTTAATTTAGAATAGAGAAATATTAGAAGTCAGTCACATGTAATAAGGTTGTTGGTAGGCTTTCCATTCTATGTCAGAAATTAGCTTGTTTGTATCAATTGCTCTGTTTAGTGGTGATGATTTATTAATTGGTAAATTGATTAATTGATTGATTGCTTGGTTGGTTGGTTGGTTGATTAATTAATTAACAATGTAACAAAATATTTAAATAATTTTTTACTTAGTCCATAGGCTGATAGATTCCTGATATGTTGTAGAAAAATAAAATCCATTTTCAAAGAATTAAAATAGATATATATTTATTAACTGATGCAATGTGCTTTGGGCTTTAGTTTTGTTTTGTGTTATTTATACCTACATGCTTTGTCCTTTCAATCTTACAAGTGTTGAGTGTAATTTGATGATGATGGAAAAAAGTGAGTGCATGTGATTACAAATGATATAGATAAGCATGACTTTGAGAGTCTACTATATCAGGTAAACGAGTAAATTCTTTACTTTCAGAGCTTTTACTTCATCTCCGTATCCTGGAACAGTTCAAGGAAATTCTCTTCATTCGTCTGCTAACACTGTGCACAGCTATAACTCAGCTTTCAGCAGTAATTCATCATTATCTTCAGTGCAACTTGAACTCAAAGTGAGTCCTCCCGCCACTGTACCTTCAACAAGTAAAGCTTCACCCAAAAACACTACTTCACCTCAAAATCGTCTGTCTTCCCAAAATCCTTTGCCACAATCACCCTGGAGACATGGTTTATCGCCACCGGAAGCTGTACCGCCAAACAACCAAGAAGTTACCCGGAACGGAGAGATGTGGACTGATGAATCACCATGGAAACAGGTAAGAGTGATAATTACTGGTTTGGTTTATTGTCTAGGTGACATAACCCACACATGACACCGTGAGTATTAAGTTAATCATTGTGTCTCTACTAGTGGAAATTTCTTTCACAATGTTTTTGTACTGATTAACTTCATTTACTTGGGAAAAAAAATGTTTATATATTTTGTAAATATATTTTATTTGTTTCCCCTTGACCAGATGTTAATTCTGTATATGTGTGCATTATAAATTATTATTATATTATCCATCATATTATTATTCATTATATTTCATTATTATTCATTATATTAGTATTAATTTGTTGCTGTTTCACTGCTGTTGTTATTTTTACTATTTTTATTAATATAATTATTTACTATTTTCATATCAGGTATCAAAATCACTACCGCCAGTTGATAATGTTAAAGGTGTACCAAATGGATACCGAACACAACAGAATACACATTCAACCACCCAGCAGAGCTATGCAGCCATGCATCATTCCTACCCATTACCCCATAACAGCTCCTCGCACCCCCAATCAAATTCAGATTTTTCACCCCAGCAACCCATTTCTAAAAATCAAAGGTTTGCCAACTCTAAAAAGACATATTCACCTCAAACACATCAAACTTTCCCACCCTCATCTCAAGCTGGTTCCCAGCAGCAACATGGACAACTTCGTAGGCAAGCTAATCTTCCACAAAGGTTTGTAAAGAATTTTAAATTTTTGTTTTGAGATACTGTTTTTCTTCAAATGCTTATAAGAAGAGGGTGCATCATATTGATCTTGATTATTTGCCATACATCAAGGACTAGTACTGTCAAACTATGCATGCACAATTGAGTGTGAAGCATCTTTATTCGGATTTGAATTCCAAACAAAGCCTTAGTGGCCTAGTTGGTTAAGTCCTCGAGTAGGCAGCAGAAGGTTCCGGATTCGAATCATGGTTTTTTCACACTCACAGATTCCTCTTTTTAAAAATTTATACATTTTAAAGATATATAATGTTTGTTGATCTAATAAACTCATAAAATACAATTCTTTGATTGAATTACAAGCTATGATAGAGGAAAGCACAGAAATTAACTCCAAACCTGCTTTTTTCCAACCATTTTGTCAGACATAAAGGTAAGATTTTGTTTTTTGGTTTTTTTTCTAGTGAAAACATGCACAATCCCAGGACTCAGCATCAAGTACATCAATCTAATGAGCATATACCACCTGGTCAACAGTATATGCCACCTGGACATTATCAGCAAATGCCACCTGGAAATTCCCAAGCACCACCTGGCCAACAACACATGCCAGCTGGCTATTCTAATACACCACCTGATTATAATCATTCTAGAGGTAGTGAGCAAGATCCAAACAATAGGCTTCCACCAGGCAGTGGCATGGGTCAAGCTGATTTGGACAACCAAGTGACTGGACAATCTAGAGCAGATATCTACATCCCTTCTCTGCCATCTACCAGAGACAGGATGGGTAAGTGGTTTCAGACTGTTTTCTTTTTGTGACATTGTTAAGGCATTGAATTAAAAACAAATAAAGGTATGAATAAAGATGATAAATGAATTTGATTAGATTTACTTGGTGTGAATGGCAAGGATAATCCACAGAAGTTCAAAGATTTTTTTCATTGAGTTTCTGTGGTGCTGATTGGAATGTGCACTGGGAGACAGTCCCCTACTCTTTTCCGAGGAGTGCACTGCATTGTTTAATTTGCACATGGGCCATATTAATAATATAATAATATTTATTCGGCAGAGTAAAAAGTATACATACAATATTCTTGCCAGGAGTAAGTAATAGGCATAAGCCCAAACAGTAAACTGCTCTTACTCCATCATCAAAAACAAATACAATGACAATACAATATAAATATATACAAAAAAGTAAATTCAAAATAAATTGATTTAACTAAAACAAAATGAAAAACAGAGATAATTAATAGTTATTATTAGTATTAATATTTTGAGATCAAGTGTTTTGTGAGCTGGGCTTTTAATATTGCACACAGGGCCAACTGCTTAAATAAATTTCTTTGTAATTATGTTGTTTAATTGGCAAACATTTAAAGGAAATTAATGCTATTATGTTAATAATTGTTGAATAATGATAATGAAAACTAGTACTGTATGAAGATCATTTTATAAATTGTTTTTTCTGTATGCCATATCCATTGCTCAACTTGAGTGATCATGTTTTCCTCTGCTTCTATCCAAGAGTGCTTCTAGTATAGGTTGACTGTGTACTACTAGTATTGTAGTATGACACTATATATCAGCATAATGTCAGCAGAAATGTTCAAGCACCAATGGCCATCAACACCTCAGGTTATTTATATTCATAGCCTGTTATTTTAACAAGAGGCCTCTTCAAAAACCATATCAGTAGATTATGTGCATTGAATCGCAACATCTTTTATTTAGACAAAAAAAAAAACAATTTATAATGAATTTTCAACAGTATGAAATTCAATGTATCAAACAATACTCGTTTTGAAACGTTCAAATAAACTTGCATATATTTTTTTAACAGATGTCACCGCAAAGTTTGAAGCAAACCACAACTCAAATGTAAAATCAAATTTGCATACTATTCAAGAGGACCGTGACAAGAAGAACCCAGGCAAGAAGGCACCCAATAGGCAGATAGGTGGCAGTAAACAGTCAGTAGGTACAGGTTACAAGGCCAAAGCCAAGCGAAATGCATGGATGAAGGAGAAGGCAGCTTCGACAGACAGAAGACAGGAGACTAAGGCACCAGCAGCAGGCGCAAAGAAAGCAGGCTTGCGGAAACAAGTTTCTTTGGGTAAATTCCATTGATTTTGGGGGTTCTATTAGGGAGATATTTTTTAATTGCTTCTCTATGGCTTGGATAAATTTCATTGTTATCTCAAGAATATTTGTTTTTTCATTATAACATATGGCAAATTTGGGCAGTCAATTCAAGAAGCTGATAAGTGTTTTGAAGAGCCAGTTTCTTGGTAGAATATTAATATTTAAACAATGACTGGAATTGAGCTGTTCTCATTGGACATAATTAGAAATGCATCCCTGGGAATGCAGATGGCTGTACAACTTCATGAATATTTATATATCTAGTGTCCAGGGTAATAATGATATGCACCAAAGGCAATAAGATTCTTCTTTGATAGTGCAATAAAATATTCTGCATTATTAATTAACTTGTGTTTTATTATTTCAGATGATTCACGAATTGACAGAATCCCACCAACTCCATCTGCAACACCACCTCACGTTAAGTACAAGCCCAAGTCCCAAGTTGATATGAATGTGATTATGCACTCAGCTAGCCTAGATCTTGCCAGTGGGCCATCTGATTCAGGTACACATCCTTTACAATTTCCTAGCCCAAGTACAAAAATTTACATTGGTTTCTTGCCCCCGCATGCTTAAATTTTGTTGCTGCCTCAATTTTTCTTTTTTTTTTTATTACAATCCTTATTCACATTATTAATACTATTAATAACTGTAATATCTTTGTACTGGTGTGTAGATCAGCGTTAGTATATTTACTTGATCTGAAAAAATTGACAGCGAAAAAATGGCCTTCTCTTTTCTATTTTATTGATTTATTTAATTTATCTTTTTATTTAAAAATTAGGAGATGTGAAACAAATTTGATTTTATTTGGCTTCATCATTTTTATTTCATTATTTTAGTTTTGTATTACAAAATAAATGTAAAACATATCAAATGTGGATAAATGCCAAGAAACAAGGTTAAGGTTTTCTAAGTCATTAGAGCAAATGATACATGTAATGCATACAGATGTGAACAAAGAACATTGAGGTCAAAGTATAATCACATTGGAAATTGTAATGAGAATAATTCTTTTAATATTTAGAACAAAAGAAATGATTATTAACTGTTGGCACTGGTTTCAGTTTGGTCTCTTAATCTTTGTTCAGGGTTATTATTTTCATTGTTATTGTTATCATTATTGTTAACATTTGTATTATTATTAATATTTTTTGTTTTTATTTTTATGGCATTTAAAATACCATATGATTTTTTTTTAAATTTTTCTATTATTGTTTAATGTTTACTCAGGTTCCCTGAAGCAATTAAATGTGCAGCTGAGACAAGACCTGCAGGATCTTGATGGAGAAATTGAATACCTCAAATACGTGAATAAAAGTAAACCAGTGACACGAGACAAACTCAAATGATGAACTGTTTATCACATAAACTTAACAACGTGACCTAGAAGTGATATGTATGTGTGTCAAAATGGAGAAGATGAGTTGAGAAATCAAGTATAAAGAATGGAGTTCAGAATGAGATTCTATTTATCTGTATGTTTGATTGATGCTGTCCACACTCTCAGGTTTATGTGATTTGTCCATGTATGGGCATGATAATGTCATATCACACCTTATATGGGCAAATCACAGGTGTTTGTCATATAAAACTTGAAAGTGTTTACAGACCTTACAATAGTTTAAAAAACCTGCACTGTATATTTTAAGGTGCATATATATTTAATTTTAAAAATGTAAATAAAACTAATATGTATTGTTAAAATTGGAGTTTAATTTTGTAATGATAAACGTTTATGTATTTGTTACCATAATTAGCAATATGACAAATGTATTTACAGTGTGCCTATAAAAGGATAATATTTCTTCCTCTGTTAAAGTGTTGCTAAAATATCATATGTTTTACAGTAAGAGATATCAGGAATCCATTGTTCTTATAGAGTTGTTTATTTTATTGACAAAGAAAATATTGTAAATAGTATTTTTCAGATTCTGCTTTTGCTGAATAAAACACAATACTTGAAATGTGGTAGTTTTGAATCCGAAGTGCAATATTCCAAAATGTATCTTGATTCCTTGCGATAAAAGTATTATGTTGTTTTTATACCAAAGCTTGAACCTTTTCATTTGTAATGTGATGTACTCAATTGTCTAAAAGCTGTGTCTACACTATCAAGTTTTCTTTGACATACTGCTGTATGCCCATATATAGTCACGATGTGCCCAAATATAGTCATGATGTGTCTATATATGGTCATAATGCCATGTCATCATGACCATATTTAGGCATGTCACATGTTTTTGTCAAATAAAATTTGATAGTCTGGACAGGGTTTTAGCTTTAGTTGAACCACCTCCATGGTTGAACTATCCGTAAAGGTTGAGCGATTGCATACCACTTTGACTACAGATACTTAGATAACTTTATCGATGTTTGTCTCCACCTTGGGGTATAAATTGTGGCAAAGACAAGGAAAAACATTCACTCGTCGCAAATTGTGTTTCAGAGAAAATGGCCAAAACATGCTAGAATTTCAAATTTTAAAAAATCTATTTTATTACACTAAACTAACCTTTGTATATCTATACATCATGCTATGCTGTTATTTCCCCCTTTTTCAATGTTAAAACAACACTTTTTAAGGATTTGATGATGAGAAATGCCCGAAATCATAAGCTTTGAAGGCAGATTTCTCATATGTTGTTCTTTAAACAGCTGTATGTTTAAATGCTTGTAACTTCATACGGAAATGTTGGATTTGAATGATTTTTTACCATTTTATAGCTCTTATTTTTTTTTTTTTTTTAATTATTTATTTGTTCTTTATACTGGGTTTCCTCTTCAGTAACAAATTATTGTTCTCCCAGAGGGCCCAGTAAAAGACATAAAACAGTCCACGACACACAAGACAAACATACACACATGATGCTTAACACAAACTAAATCTCAATATGAGGTTTAGGGAGTAGAGTTGTTTTGGTCGTGAGAAAAAGTCCTGCAACTGACAGGAATTGAACCCATGACCCTGGGATTGGAAGGCAAGCATCTTAACCACCAAGCTATTTTACACTTTAACACTGTATTAATAAATCAAAATCGATTTTTGCAACGAGTGACTGGTTTGGCTAGTCTTTGCCACATTTGGTGCTAGGTATGGTGTTGGTAACAATAAATTAATATCCATGCTACCAAACTTGTTTTCATTGAGTCTTTAAAGTCAGGCTCCGGAGGGAAAAAATTTTTTGAATATTTTAAATATTAAAAAATCTGTATCTCATTCACCGTTCCCCAGTTTTTTGTCAAACAACTTTTTTCTGTCTTAGAAAAATCAGTTCTACAACATATCAAAACATTTTTTTCCTCCAGAGTCTGGCTTTAAGAAAATGTCTTACAGTTGTTGCTCTATATACATTAAGAGAAAATTCCCTTCCCTAGTGGTGGCACTAGCAGGTAGCAGGGCATTAATCCATGGGTGGTGCCAGGATTTTCCCAAGGGGGGGGGGGAGGATGTCCCCGACGAGTGCAAAGTGTGCGTGGTCAGGTATAGCTCAAAATCACTTGAAATGGTCCTTGGGCGAAGCCCCCAAAAAGTATGACAATTTACGAGTTTCAAAAAAAAGCTTATTTACTTGATTGTAGAGTCTATATAATAATGTATATGGGGCACCACCCCTACATTAATCCCTCTTCAGACAGGCCATGTGCCTGTCAGCCACTACTGTGATCCAAAAAGGAAACAAATAAGATGTAAAGAAGCATTTTTACACCTTAAAATACGTAGTTTTTCACGAGAATGTTAACTTATTACTAGCCCACTGAATCCTGCCAGGCCTTGTCATCAAAACCTGCTATCCTCTGTTGGAAATTGTTAGAATTCTTGTCGAACAATGTGGCTCCCCCCTCTTCCCTCCGCCGACTTCTGAGCAGGTTATATCTTATAGTATATCTATCTATATATCTATAGAGTATATCTTAGAGCAGGTAGGTGTTATAATAACTCACTGCTTAGATCCACCACTGGCTCCATTACTGATCTTTTGCAATCCTTGTCATTTTCGGTTGGCTTGCATATTATATATCATTCATTGTAATTGTGATTTATTTTTGCCTATTTAATATGTAACCAACCTGCTTCTGTGATGCAACATCTTGTATCTGGATCAACTACCTGCTTACAAGTAAAGTTCACTGTATGTCACTTACGGTATATTTGCTACATAGATCATATTAAAATCGTAAATTAATACATCATTCACAACATCTTTCCCTGTGCAGGAATATAACTGAAATAATTCATTTTCAGTTCATTCTAAGGTCACAAAAGAATTATATATTTCTTTACAAATGTATATGAAAGTGACAGGATTGACTTTGAAGAGCTGTACATATAATATACAGCCAGTGCTGAGACAAATGGTTGGGGCCTTTTTTTTAAACAGGCGATTTACTGTAGTGTTGCATAAGAGCACTGATAGTTCAAGGGAAATTAGCTTTTGTGAGATCAGAGAAAAGGGTGAAACCTCTTTGTTATGGTTTATGATGCTAGGGTGAGGGTAGTTAATCAGAGATCGAGTTTGATAAAAAGAGGGTTTTGCAGAAACAGAAAACATTCACCCTCTTGTCCACCTTGTCCAGGCCAAAAATAAATAGGTAATCACTTACTTATCTGTACTATAAAATATTAACTATTTTGAATAATGTATGAAGTTCAATGATGTAAACCTTAAATAAGTGTATGATTGAAATGTTAGCCTATTCCGAAAAGTGTATGAAGATAATGCCTAAACTAAAGGCATTTTTGTGTACGTTTTTGAAGCAGTGGAAGAGATATTGAAATGCAATAAATGATCCTGAAGTTAAAGTAATAAATTTGTATTATTTCAGATTTGTTGGCAAAGAAATCTTTAATAAACCCTAATTCGAGTAAGCAGGGGTGGCGCCATGATTTGCCCGACGGGCCAGCGTCCCATGTCACGAGAACGTACATGGGCGTGGTCGGGTGTTGCTCAAAATTTCTCGGAAGTGGTCCAGATGGTGAAGCCACGAAATTGACTATTTACGGTTTTCAAAGGCTAATATTTAATCGATTTTAGAGTCTACCACATGTAAAAAATACTGGGCCTGTAATTCCCCCCCCCCCCCCGACATATTGTGTTTAGCTCTCCACGTCAGGCGCTACCTGCCTTAAGCCCATTTGATTTCTAATACTTTAGGACTCTTCGGGACCACCTAACCGCAAGATTACCCAAATTGATGGGCAAAATGTACTGTATAATGAAATGTAATTTGTTGATTTACAGCGCGCTGTGCAGTACATTATCTTTTTGAAGAAGAAAGGTCTGTGCAAATTAATGCAGGTTTCTGAAATTTCCACGTATTAGAATTTTTCTTTAGGAATTCCATAAAGTTAACATTTTAAACTGTGTTAGTTACAGCACTGTCAAATAATGTGCTTCATGCCCTCTCTATAGGCCTAACATGTTCCTATCTGTTCTTCAGTGTAAAACCGGTAAAAATAACGCCTAGGACATATGCACACTCTTTCA